GATGCCCAGCTGGGATGGGCATGAGACAGAGCCACGGGTGGCTCATCTGGAGGGTGGCAGTTGGGGGCGCAGCTCCCACTGCTGCATGCTACCCTGGGGGAGGCATAGGGGGCATGTGCCCCCTGGATTTGTGCATGGGGCGAGGGCAGGCTGTGCGCTCGGGACCGGGGACTGTGCTGGCCTCTTCCGGGCAGGGGCAGGGGCAGTCGGGGTCTGCAGGGACAGGGCAGGCATGTGGCTCACCTTAGCCAGCCTAGCTGTTCTACCACATTGCACTTATTGAAAACTAAGGCAAAGTTTTTGTTTAGTTTTTTGGGGCCCTACCTAGATTATTTTTGCTTTCCATCCTATTCTCGCTGCATAGAAGTCGTATTTCCTTTTCCCTAGTTCTTTTTCCTGTTATGGCTAAAGAACCATTTGCTGTTGTTTTCATTTCCTTTCCAAGATCTCACTTACTCGATCAAGGTGATGCTGAAGTGAGTGATCAGAAATAAAAGACCGATTTGTTCAGGTGCAAACAAGCGTGACTGGATTATGTTTGTACCATGAGGACAGAAAAAAGTTCAAACCAGGTTATATATACTTGGTGTTCTTAGAGGGCCAATTTGTCAAAACATTTATGATTGTGAGCTAAATCATGGTAAATTCTCGAGAACAAAAAGCCACAATTGAAAATGTGTGTAAGGTTAAATTGGCAAAGACAAAACAATGTGGTTTGGAGAAAAAGTGAAAGCAGGTATGAGAGAGAACCGTTTGGAAAATAGCATTTGGTAGCAACAAATAGAAATTAAAAACAAGGAAATGTAGAAAACAGGTAATAGGTGCAAACGAGATTCCTATAAACATCAGAGCTAAGGAGAGTAAGGAAGAATTTAAATATTTGGGAACAAAAGAAATCCAAATAATGGCATCAATAACACTGTCAGTTTTGAGGCAGGAAAAGCAGAAGTGTTCAATAAATGTTTCCTTTCTTTATTTGGGGAAGAAGATATATTCATAATAGATGAAACTTTCCATTCCAGCAGTAACTCAGGAGGATGTTAAGCAGCAGCTGCAACAGCAGGTAGATATTTTTAAATCAGCAGATCTGGATAACTTATATGCAAGAGTTTTGGAAGAGCTGGTCGAGCAGTTCTCTGGACCATAAGGCCATATCCAAACAAGCGCGGCTGTGTGGTATGTGGTGCCAGACACGTCTGTGGTGCCACACACCGCACCTTCACTTGTTCTCCATGCTGCAAGGAAGCACAGAGGGTTTTTTTGATCTCTGGATATCCAGGGGTCAAAAAAACCTGTGGGGGAAAAGAACGTGGAGCAGTGCATGCGGAGGGAGTATGCACCACCCAGAGCCAGAGCCTGGCTGGTCGGAGCCACACTCAGCTGCTGGCCAGGCTCTGTGCGGCAGGAGCGATGCAGCTGCAGCCCCAGGAGGCCCCCAGGACCCCAGGTAAGGCTGCTGGGTCCAGGCTAGTACTGGCCCCAGCCTCCCCTACCTCACCTGGGGTAACTTGCCGCGCACCAGAGCACACATGGTACAGGTGTTCCCCGGAGATGACCAGCAGTGGCACACGGTGTACTGCCACTAGTTGTCCCTGGGGAGCCAAACATCCACGCATGTCTAGACACGGCCTGAATGTCTATTTTTCACAACTCTTGAAGCACCAGGGACATGCTTGCACGCTATAAGGCCTTGGGTTGGTACCACAAGGTATTTTGCTAAAGTAATGAGAATGGAAAATCAACGTGGCACGCATTAATGGTATTGACCACTGGTTAACTGAGGTCTTAAAATGTAACTGTAAACAGGGAATCATTACTGAGCAGTTGTGTTTCTAATGGAGTCTTGCAGGGCTTGGTTTTTGGCCCCATACGTTTTAACATTTTGAAGATAAGGGAAATATAAGGTCGTTGTAATGAACTTTGCAGATGGCACGCAGATCGGTGTATAATGAAGGAGCTGGTCTCTGATAACGATCGGGGTCACCTGCCAAGCTGGGCAGAAATAAGCAACGTACATGTGTCTTTGTGGCCAAATGTAAAGTCAGTTCAGAATCAAGAACAGAAATGGGAAACCTTCCTGGGCAGCAGCGACTCTGGAAAGGTCTTCTGGGGTCACCACAGCCGGTCAGCTGAGTACAAGCTCCTATTGGGGCGCTGTAAGCAAAAGAGCTTGAGTGATTTCTCAGCGCTTAAACAGGGGACAGTGTCGCAGGAGCAGGGGGGCTCTGCTCCTTCTGCATTTGGCACTGGTACAGTCACTCCTGGAGTGGTGCTTTCCATCCTGATGGCAGCATTTACAAAGTGTTATTGAAAAATTGGAAACGCTCCAGAGAAGGGTCACAAAAATAACTAAACATTTGGAAATTTGATGTCTAGTGAGAGCCTGGAGAAGCTCAACCTAACCAGCTTGTTAAAAAGAAGGTTAACAGGCAACTTGCTTGTAATCTATAAAAAACCTATGTGAGGAGCAAAAAATTGATGACAGTGGGTGTTTCAATCTAGCAAACAGGTGTAGCAAATTGGAACGGCTGGAAGGTGAAGCCTCACAAGCTAAGGAGGCTAGAAAGAAATTGCAGCGTTTTCACACTGAGCAGAACGAACCATGAAAGCAACTTTTTTCTTTGTCAATCTAGATCAGGAGTAGACAGCCTTTCTTGGCTGCAGGCCAGAATGACCCAGCCCAGGTCAGAGGTGGGCAGATGCTAGGATCCGGCTGCCACTGCTGCTTGTTTCCACAGTGGCATGAGGAGAAGCTCCCTGCCATTGCATACTGCGATGTGGCCAAAACCCCACGTCCAATGGCTCCATGGGCTGGGGCTGGCCCACAGGCCATATATCGCCAACACCTGATCTAGACTGATTGATTATTTCTCTAAAGCAGTGGTTTTCAATCTTTTCTTTTTATTTGTGGACCCCTAAAATATTTAAAATGGAGGTGTGGACCCCTTTTAATGATAAGTGTGGGTATTCACATACTTTTGATTTACTATATTCATCTTTTGCAGACCCCTTAGATTGTGCAGACCCCCAGGTTGAAAATGACTGCGCTAGAGTATAATTCTTATTTGAAGTTGAGAATAATTCCAAGACATGCCATATAGACTGCCTCATGTAGGCGGTCAGATGAAATGATCAAAATGGCCTCTTTTGGACTTGCCTATGAAAGGTAATT